TAGTGAGGATCCCACGGGGCGGGGAGTGCTCTCCCCATCCCCGCTAACGGGGATGAAAATTACCCCATCCCCGCACCATTCGGGGCAGATCCCCATGGGGTCAGGAAAATGGGAAAAATTGCCATCCCTAGATTTGATCAGATCTGATATGACTCAATTTGAATTTGAATCCTATCGATAAGTCAGATCATTGGATCTGATCTGATCCGACTTGTTTTCTTTAAAAGTTAATAAATTATTAAAAGGTAAATAAAACATACTAATTCAAATAAAGCAAAAACAAAAATACAAGTATTTTTAATTATTTTCATCATATATAGATGTTTTTTATAAAAAAATAAGAATATTACAAATTTATAAAAATATTTTTATAAATAAATAAATAACATATATATGTATTGTATATTTATATTTTAAATATATAATATATATCGGATTGGATCTTCTCTAATCAGATAGGGATGATCCGAATCTAATCCAGTTTTTTATCAGATCGTATTATCCAATCCAAAAATCCAAACAGAGGTGATCTAAATTCGACCAAATAGGATCGGATCGGATCATCCGATCCATTTGCACCCCTAATTCCAAATGTGAGCGGACACCAAAATGACAGAATGAAAGCAAGGGGATCTTGTTCGAAATGTAATTAATTATTTCTACACTTCAATTTATATCCCATGTATTTACCAAAAAAGTAATTTATATCCTACGTAGAAAAAAAAAACAGCAATTTGCATCTTTCCTAGAGATTATTTGTAACATGAATACATTGATTGAAGATACCAATTGGGCTTAAAGCGTAGATAAGTACTGGCCATTCATATATTATGCTGAAATTTAATTAATTATAATGGAACAATGAGAATGGAACATTAGATCACTTGGTTGGTTCTTCCACTATTCTTCTTTTGATTTTTTAATATATGTTGTAAATAGATATATAATTATATAATATAAATACTAGAAATATATGTAATATATTATATTATAAATAATGTATAATTATATTATAAATATATAATGTATATATATATTTAATACATAATATATATTAAAAATATATATAATATATTTATAATATATATATATATATATACCGGTTGATTCAATCAATTGGATTTTTCATTTCGGTTTTATTGGTTTGATTCAAATTTTCGATTTTTGATGATCACCCTCGGTACAAGAAATCGCTCAACCAAAAAAATTTAAACTGTTAAATGAGATTCTTGAATAAGTTTAAATTCTATAAGAAGACTACCACCTTACAAAAAAAATGTAAAGATCTGATTTGTATCCTTCCTTCAATCCCTTCCAACATGCTAGACCCCAAATAAATGCAAGTTTGCAACCAACCACTATTTGGTAGTGATTTTATAAAAAAAAAAAATGGATAATAAGTATATAAGAATCATTATCAACTAACTTTAGTATATGCAAGTGGAGATCACGGGGAGCGTGAACCCGCCAACCAGAGATGACCACGTCGGCAATTCAAAACATGAATAATACTAACGGGTGCTCAGCCGTACAATGAACAAATATGGTTGAATCACTCACAAAAAGACAAAAAACTAAGAAGAGATTTTCTTATCATTCGAACTCTCCTCAGTCCTCCCCATTTCGAGTCCTCTCCTCTAAGCCCTAACCCAAGCATCCCGCCAGCCACCCACCATACACCAGCGTTCGTGACTATGAAATGGCGACAAGAACTCTGACATTCAAGCAAATACTGTTGAAACTTGAAATAGGGGGAGAGGAGGGAGAGAGAACTCATGAGTATATAGTCCTTTATGTATATATTTGGCACTCTACTTGGGTCTCTGAGGAAGCTTACACCCCTAAATCGCCATGAAATCCTCTTCCTTTTCTTTGCTTGATAGTGAAATAAATAGCTTTGGCTAGACAACCACTCTGCCCTCTCCTTCTCTGGCGAAGCTGACTTCCTGTTCTCGCTTATTCTCGATGAATGTATCACTGATTCTGCATTCGCTTATACTCGATGAATGTATCACTGATTCTGCATTCTTGTAACCAAAACAACACCGAACAATAAATCGATTCATGATGACTCAGACCTTGTTTTGTTGGAACTCCTCTGTGGGCTTTTCTTCTTTTTAGATTTTCGAGATTCTAAAACAAAAGAAAGCCCAAAAAAGAACTCGATTCTGATCCTTTCTATCTCAATTTCTTGTGGAATTTCTCCCTTTTAGGTCCTAAGTACTTGATACCAAATAAAATCCAAAAAGAACTGTTTTTTTTTTCCTTTGACATTCTCAATCTCATTTTCTTGAGATATTGTTATGTGTTTTGTTATTTTTAGGTTTTGGAGTCCCTGAAATTAATGTGGCATTTGATAACACTTTTCAGATGTTTGGTGTCTAAAAAAATTGCTTTTGAAAATGGGTCTGAATCTTGTTTTCAAATCTAAAAATTTAAGCTTGCGGGCCAGCTCTTAATGTGTTTAGACACGTTTCAGAGCGAGTCCAAAGTCGAAATACCCCCCTCCCCCCAAAAAATGGAAATGACGCAATTTTGCCCCTGTTAACCCCAAAACCTAAAACATTTCTCCATTTGTGTTCTCTTTGGAACGAGAAAGAAGAGCATCCTCACTTTCGTCTCGTCTGAAGATCACTGCTCATCTTGTTTGAAGATCACCAGTCATCTCGATGAAGGTATCTTCTTCTTCTTCTTCTTCTTCTTCTTTTTCAAACGATTTTACCCCTGTTAACCCCCAAACCTAAAACATTTCTCCATTTGTGTTTTCTCTTTGGAATGGGAAAGAAGAGCATCCTCATGCTTGCCTCGTTTGAAGATTGGCACTTGTCTCGTCGAATGTCTCTTATTCTTCTTCTTCTTCTTCAAATGATTGTTCATAGGGTTCTTAGAAAGTATACATGTTTTTTATTTTATTCTTATTTTAATCAATTATTTAAATTCAATAAATTATTGTTTTGATTTGAATAAATTGTTTTTTTATTTTTATGATTTTTTGTATTAATTATAAATTATTTTAATTTTTATTATTGTTGATTAATTTAACATTTTTATTAGATATTAGTTACATATTGAGTAATTAATTATTATTTTAATTATTAATTATTAACTAATTACTGATTTTATTATTTTTTTATTAATTATTTTAATCTTTATTTGGTGTTAATTATTTTAATATTATGTATTAGTTATAAATTTTTAATTATTAATTATTGACATTGTTAATTATTGATTATTAGTGTTATTTATTTTAATATTTTATTAGTTGTAAATTATTTTGTTTATTTTTTGTATTTTTTAATTATTAATTATTTTAATCCTATTAGTTTTAATTATTTCAATTTTTTATTAGTTATTATTAATTTTTATTTTTTGTTTTTATTAATCATTTAATTATTAATAATTAATTTTATTAATTGTTAAATTTTTATTTATTATTAAATATTGTTCTCATTAATTACTGAATATTATTTTGAATTTTATAAATTATTTTATATGAAATAGTACAAGTTGAGCTCAAAATTATCAAATAGTCTATTTTAGGGATAAAATAGTAAAATCAGGAAAATTCAAATGTTAAAGGTTTGGTCCAACACAAACAAGCTTATCTGTTGAAAGCCTCTAAAGATAAAAAAAAAGCATTTATGCATCTTTTCAGATTTCATACATTTTTAATATTTTTTTAACATTTTGAGACTTCAGATTTCAGATTTATTAAACACCACCTAAACGGAATAGAAACAACTAATATTTGATATCCGGATTCTTGAAATTCTGTTCTATGCTTATTCAATTCTTAGCCTTATCTTACCTGTTCATGGGATTCTATTGTAAAGGAGGTGTTTCTTTCTCAGCTCTCACGACACGACACAAGTAGTGGTTCTCTTCCTTGCGATATCTCTAGCTTTTACCTTCACACATCGAAGCCTTTTTTTTGTTTCCCTATTGTAACAGAAACTCTGTCTCAGGAGCTCTTCAGGTCCTGATGCTTTCCTTCCTTTTCCATCTCTGTAGGAACAAAGCAGAGTCGGTTAACAACCCATTTGGTTTGCTCTAATAACTCAAGATACTGGAATTAAAAAAAAAAAGAAAAAATAAACAAATTGTAGTTCTCTTATGGAAGTTATCAAGTTGAAATAGGCTTAGAAGATATTGAAGAATAAACCATTCAAAAACCTCACTTAACAGTTTAAGCTTTTAGGTTCAATGATTCTTTAAGAGAATAAGAAGGGATAATGATCAAATTATTGGAGAGAATGGAGAATACCTATCGGAATGCTGGAATAATTGCCATCATTCCACGATGACGGATGCCGGTGTGTGACGAGTGACTGGTGGGATTATTGCCCCCGTCTCTAATTGGTGTTGCCGTGACGAAAGCTGAACTAGTTCACAAGATGCGAACTCATGCAAGTGTCAGGAACAGCCGAACAAGCCAATCCAACATCGAAGGACTAGAAATTTGGTCATTTGAACAAACTAACAGCCAAGGTTTTTAAAACCGGCTTGGGGAACGAACTGGTCAGGGTCCATTTTCTAGGTCGAACGATTTTCAACGATTTACTGACCAAATCAACATTTTTTTTGGCTAAAATCTGATTGTGGCCTAAAAGGGAGGTTTTCTGGTCCGACCGTCCAGTCCTGTCTGGTTTTTGAAAACCATGCTATCGCCAAACGTGTCACTGTCGCATGAACTATATAACCCAATTATCATCAGATTTTGTAAATGTCATTTCATAACTTTCCCATAATTCAATTTGTACACAATGGAGGCTAATACACCCACCAGTCCACCACAATTGAAGGCAGAAGCCCAGAACTCTAGAGTCTAGTCTAGCCTTCCAAGATGGAAGCTCGCACATTTTTTATTTATTTATTGGTTACTATTTAATAGGCAGGTGTTGGGTTTCCTTCTGTTTGTCCCCACGCCCACCCCCCGGCGCTGGCCCATTAATACGCCCAAACAACCAAACATAGTAGTAAGTAAGTGGTACCATGTTCTTCTCTTTACCCGTATAGTCTTCTTCCCCTCACCTTTCTCGTGTCCTCCATTTATAACTCACGTCCTTTCTCTTTTATCAATTCATTCCAAACTCCAGTGATAAGTCACGCAAACATGTCCAGAGCAACAGTGGAACTCGATTTCTTCGGCATGGAGAGACAAAACCAACGAAAAACCCTTCGACGTCCGTCTAGATCTCTCCCTTTTCCCCGCCCCATCTCTCTTTCTTTTTCTCGCTTCCGTTTTCTAACCTTTCATTTTGCCTACAGGCATTCAGAGCGCCATCTCCAAGCTCAATCCTCAACTTCTGAAGACCGTAATTGCTTCCGGAACTTCCTATGTGAGTTTGGACGGAAAGCCCCCGGAGAACGGCACTTGCCGACCCACCACTCCCAAGGAGAACCAAAACTTCGTTTCGACTTTACCCGTCGTGAATCCAATCAGTCCTAGGTAATCATAGAGTTCACCAGATGATCATGAGCACTTTCTTATTTCTTAAACCCTCTCAATTTCTAGATTTTCTATTTTTTTTCTACATATTAAACAAAACAAATTAATGGGTTGCTGCTGCTTGAAAACAAAACAAATTGCATGGTGATTTCGTTTTTTCAGGGCCGTTTCTGAAAGTCCATCACCAGAAACAGCTCCTTTAACGATTTTCTACAACGGAACCGTCTCCGTATTCGATGTTCCCCGTGACAAGGTTAGCATATATATGTATATATATTTCTTCTTACTTGTTAAATCTTGTATTGACGTAGGATGTAAGTATTGATTTATACAAGAAACATACTTTCTCTTCTTCTTCTCTTCCGTCCTCCGAATATTGATTTATTTATTTATTTAGGCGGAGAAAATTATGAAGCTGGCTGAAATAGGAAGCACTGCCAATTGCAACGCTGCTGTAACGGCCGATCCGAAAGTTGTAGCTTCGTCGTCAACCGACGAGCATGAGCTGCTGGAAAGCCTTAACGGAGGTAAGAATTTCTGTTTTTGGTGATGCTGCATTAACTTTCCAGTTTCCACAAATAGAAATGCGATTGCTTGCGTTTTGAAAATTTTCCTAAGATGGCTGGCATATACATGTTTGCCTACCGCAGAGTTGCCGATTCCTCGAAAAAAGTCTCTTCAAAGGTTCCTTGAAAAGCGCAAGGAGAGGTATTACTATTGACTAATTTTGACCGGTGTTTTGTAACACTTGATTTTGGCTGCTTACCTTCCGTTGCCCACGTTTTTCTTTTCTTCTTCTTCTTCTTCTTACATTTATTATTATTATTATTATTATTATTTAAATCAGCATTATTTTTTAGAAGCCATCATCAGTATGATTTTTTGATAAATTATATATTATTACCCTGTATTTTGGGTAATGGCAATTATCCCCTCAACTTTTATTTGCTATACAAAGACACCCTCAACTTTTAGATTCTGACAAAAGACCCCTCCTTTAATTACCGCATGCAATGTGGCATGGTTCGCTCATGTCTCATTGATGAAGGGGCAAGGTGAGAGATTACTTTTAAAAAAGATTCTCATATAACTGTTTAAACTTTTATAAATACCCAAATTACTCTTTTTCTAATGATTTTGAGCATTTTTTTTTCAATTTTCACTTCTAAGTTTTGATAGAAGCTATTTATTTTTTTTATTTTTGGCAATTTTCGTTTTATACAAGTTTCTCAGAATAATTGCTACTACCCATTAAGCATAGGGTATAGTAATCTTTAATTTATTATTTTTTTTCTTTTTTCTCCTACAATCTGGGAATGTTAGAACTTAGAAGCCAAAATGCCCCATTGTCAAAAGAAAAAAAAAATTAAAGAAAGAAAAGGCAAAATACATATAACAACACTGTACCTTCAAATTCCAATATTTCACTCTTTTTTGTATTGACTTTTTGGAGTCAGTTTTTATTGAATTCAGCTGTACTTTGGAGCCCGGATCTCCGGCAAGCAAAAACTCTACTTACATAGCATCTACCTGCATAATGATAATATCTTCTATATGTTAAGTTCATGGAGAGATTTTGCAACACAATCTTAATTATTTGTTTTGAATTAAGTGCTTATATAAGAGGGCTGAAGCGCAGCAGCTTTGACTCCCCGCTTTCCAAGGCGACATTCACACAGAAAGCCTATAGGCTATGTTTGGTGAAATATTTGAAGAGTTTAAATCGGCTGTCAGTTATTCATTTAAGCTGTTAGGCCTCTTTTAATAGTTTATATGGAATACTTCAAAGCAGTTGAATTAGTTTAGGGCTCCTTTGGGAGGACTGAGTTGAAGACTGAGCTAAACTGGTTCAATTGCTTTGAAACTGAAGCACACTCAGAATATATATTATCTCAAGAGATTAAAGTGGACGAGACGGAATCTCCTCCCAGCAAAAAATCCCAACTACATGATCCATTTCCGCACATCTTGAAACATGTTGAAAGGGTTTCTTGATGGGAAGAGATCCAGACTCAAAGCAGATAATCCATTAAATGACTGACTAATAATGACTTTTGTTTGGTATTTAGTGATATACCTGAATCTCCAAGGGACCTTTAAGTAGTGTAGCACCACACTCGATTATCACCCTTAACCCCCCTTTCCCCAAGATGGTGATAGTGGGATTTGAATCGCTGAATCATTCGTTTCTTTCCTGACTGACAATTGACTTGGGATTAAGAAAGTATTGACATATATTGGCCTGTATCAATCGATACGTATTGTTTTGGAACCCTCCGATATACCCTTATAGTAAGTGTATCGAGAGTGATCGATTTAGAGCATAAAAGAGGCCTAAATCAGCTCTCTTAAACTAGTTGCAAAAAAAAAATACTAAAAAACTGTATCAATTCGTCGCTTATACCTATATATTGGACGTATCAATATTTTGAACCTTGCTTGGAACTCTCTAAATTTTTCACCAAACATTACTCATAAACTGACCATATGAGACCCATCATGGAAAGCCACAAAACATGACATGAGCAGATATTTTGATTTTAGCATGTTCTGTCGGTGGTCTAAGGTAACCACCGTCTACATACCCGCCATGATATTCAAGCTTGCATCAGCTTCGACCACAGCCTCTGCGTCACAACACTATATCTGGATGCCAAATAAAACAATTTAATACCATGTGATGCGTTTTTTGTTGGATATATTATATATAGCTAGCGTGTTCATGTAATTGGATAGTGGCTGATACGAGCTCGAGCTACCAACAGATTGTTTTGGACGTCTATTATTATATACTACAGAGAACAGAGAGGACTTGTCACTTTCCTGTGTTTTTGACTCACCTATCTCTGTGATATCAATATGTAGACTTTTGTCCAGTTGAGAGTCTTGAGACACCTTTTATTTAATTCTTTTATGTTTTATTTAATCCCATCTGACTGACAGGGTGTAAGAATTTAATTTACATCTATGTGCTTCAATTAAATAAAAAAGTGCATATATTTTATTATATTGCAGGTTGGCTTTGGTGTCGCCTCATGGGAATCCATTGGAATGTGCGGTGGACAAATAAGAAAAACTTGGCGGGTGGGGATAGTCCAGACAGTCAGACACCAGGAGTGACTTGGTGAGATGAATTGAAGGAGCTAATTTAATTCGTGGTCTTGACGAATTCGCATAGCGACTGGCTGATTCCATTTATTTTCTATAATTAATTGCTTTGCCGTACGTGGTGGTAGTAGAAGTAGTTGTTGTGATTGTTGCCCGTTGGGTTAACGTCGTCAGTCGTCTCACCTTCTTATTTTCTTAGTTTTTCATCTTTTAACCTACAAATAGGATACGTGATGCATACAAAAATTAAACCGTGTTAGTTAGTTACAGTCACAATTTGTATAATAGTCTTAATTATAACTCTTCTAGTTCTGGGTTGGATATATATAATCACGTTTTACATGTTTATGTATTTCTATTTAAATGCAATGTTTACTGTTATGTTATTTACTACTAATGCACTGATATCCGGACTCCTTAAAAATGTAATCGGTATTTTCTATACTTACTTTCTCTCTATTTATCATGCACTCTTAATTACATAATTGATATAGATTTACACTTACGCCTTTTCTGGAATATGTAATTAAACCATACCTTTTATTATTTGAGTTTTGACCAGTTCAGCAAGGTTTTAATTTTTATCATTCTATGCAATGGACCCTATGACCTATTATTAAACTATGAAATTCCCTCAAGACCATGCAAGGAGAAGCAAAAAAGACAAATACAAAGGGACCACTGCACTACTCCCTGATTGTAGTTGTAGGAAAGGTAATTAGGATTTCAAAATTCAAACCCATTATCTTGAAAGGGAGGAGGCAAAGCAAATCAAGCAAGCATTTTCTTGTCTTAATTTTGTTGCTAGGTAATGATCACTATGCACTTTTAAGTAAGTTATTTATTTGGGTAAATGCAGTGTTATCTGGGTAAGTTTTTTTTGAGAAACACAGAAACACTTACCCAGATAAGTACATTTATTCATGTTCTTTTATTTCTTATGTAAATAAAGTAATGTTCATTTTAATCATAAAAATTCATTACAAAAAAGGGTATTTTTGTTCTATTTAAGTATTGATAACTTTTTCCCTAGGTGGGAAAGTTATTTACCCACCTAAGAGATGGGTATCACTTACTCGGGTAAGTGGTACCCAGGAAAATAAATTTTCCCTGGTCCCCACATAAATCTGAATAAAGATCATAAGATTCTCGGTCAATGAGAACCAAAATCCCATTAATCAACTTTCCCCCTTCTCAAAATCCCAAAAAACAATACCCCCAATGATTAATCTTTTTGAAACGCTCCAAGGTAAATGCATTCCACTATGTATTAAGAATATTTTTAATTTTTATGAATAAACAACATATAAATTTGAAAGATCTTCACAATGTGTGGCTAAAACGTACTCAAGAGTTCTAAGACGCCATGGTGGTTGAAAATCATCTATCAACAGAATTGTGATAATAACTTATTAACTTGTGTATCACCTTCGATAATAACTTAAAAAAAAATCCAAACTCTTGGCAAAGAGAAAAACCTTTAAAGAAAGTCATGCCGCCACATCATTTTATTAACATAATTAAAAGCGAGTAGCTCTATGCCTCTAGCAAATAAGAAAGAGTCAAAAATCAAAATGATCCCCAACCACTATTCCAATTGCACCCACAGTGCGTCCCAAACGGCATCCGCGCGCATTTTCTTTAATATATAACACTATAAGGGATTTGCTCCATAATTAATGCATGTTACTTGTGGTTGGGAGGTGAGGTAGGACTGTCAATGGACCGGATATTGGTCCAATCAGGTATGTTCGTCCAGCATGAATTCATTATAGATAGACCAGATCCAATCTAATCCAATCTGATGAATATTTTAGACCATCTGAACCGTCCAAACTCTTCAAATTGATTTTAATTTATATTGGATCCAATCCAAACCCTTGATCCATTGATACTCATACTCTTATCTTATGTTAATGGACTAGACACTGATTCAATCTGATTTAGCCAAATATAAATCCATTACAAGTAGAAGAGGTCCAATCCAATCCAATAAATACTTTGGATGATTAAGTTTGAATGGATCCAATTCAATATATTTTATTGGTTTGTCCAATCTGCCTGAGTGGTTCAAGTGGTTTGATTAGATTGGAATATCGGGAAAAAAGAAATGTCACTCATAATCTCCATATTCCAATTCAAGAAAGAAATGAAGGAAGGAGAGAAAAGAATATCGGGCAGATGTTAGATGTACCTTTAAGGGTGTGTCCAATTTTCGTTGGCTGAGAAAAAAAGAAAGAAATGGAGGAAGGACAAAAAGGACAAAAAGGAAACGAAGGAAGGGGGAAGGAGGAGGAACATCTGACATTCACCATACAATGGAAATAGTGATGGCAACAGAAAATGCCACGGCAACCATTCGGCTCTCTCTGAGATCTAAGAACTGAACTGAGAACTTAGATCTGAGATATGATTTCTCTCTAATCAGTAATCTCTATAATATTGTTTTTGTGTTCTCCAATCTCTCTCTCTCTATATATATATATACAATATTGCATCAGTCTCTTCCCATCTCTCAATCTCATTTACATGTTATTAAAATGAGAATTATGGTTTGAGTTTGACGGATTGACAATTTAATCATCTGGGTCATTGGTTCTTTGATCAAATCAATAGTTTTTGGCCAAAAAACAAGTTAAGAGTGAAACAGAACCGGTTACTTAAACGATTTTCAAGCCAAAGGATTTGACCATCTACATCAACAACGATTAAAAAATATTGGTCCCATCTATTCAAATTGATTCTGATTATAGTCCAACCCAAACCGGTCCATTGACACCTTAGGGGGTGTCCAAATTCATCAGCACATGTAGCTCATGGGATGATCAAACAGGATCCCCTGAAAAAAACATGCTCATTACGTGCCAACTAAACTTGTGTCATAATGATAACAGCTTGTAACAAGCCATTCATCATCGACGCAGTGATTAATCTCATCACTATGCCACCAAAATAATATAAAATCATGTACGCATTGAAACTGGTGAATAGTGGGCTGAAAATTCAAAAACGAACCTAACCACACGGCTTCTGCCCATTAGCCTATCAGTCTGGGTTAGGTAGGCATACATGGTGATGAGTACATTGAATAATCACTTATAAAACCTCCTGACATTTGTCCTTTAAAAAATAAGGGACCGACCCTACCTCGAAAAAGATTAAAAATAAATTTTGATACATTTGTCATAATATTTATTAAGTATCGGTTGAAGTTTTGATACAATGGTGGTAAAGTTTCGCAATTCGCAATACATGTTTTATCAAAGGAGAGGGGTGAAATGTTTAGAAATTAGAATGCATTTTCACACAACAAATTTTAATGATGGGATATAACATTCCGACTCCATACAGGACATTTGCAACAAGATGGATGCTCTCACTCTCTTTGTCGTGATTTATGGGGGAGGGAATAATAAGTTCCATTGAGTTAAGTGGGATTGATGGAGGCCCATCCCAAGGCCCATCTCATTCCTAGAGGCGGCAGCTCCTATGATAAGGTCAGGAGTCTAAGATAAGCCAAGGAAGGATAATTCAAGATCCATCAAGACTCTTCCAAGACTCCAAGACTTATCAAGAATCCAAGCTTATCAAGATTTTTCTAAGATAATTCAAGATTATCCCAAGATAATTCACGAATTCAAGAATTATCAAAATTTAAGAATTTTATATAATCCAAGATTCATGGATGGATAAGATCAAGGGAGATCGGACGGTGGAAGACCAAGCCCAAGAATTCCAAGAGGGTTCGACCTTATCAAGACAGCCCAAAAAGATCAAGATCAAGATTCATGTTCTTTCCTAGTTCTTTTACAATTCCCAAACATATTATAAATACTGCTATTTTCCCAAAGTTATTCATCAATTTCTTACTTCAGATTTCAGAATTTCTTCAAGTTCTCTTCTTCCTATTTTCGCCACCTTTTCTCTCTCCTAGAGAAATCGTGTTATTCGCTAGGTGCTAGCGAACGCCCGGTGCTTGCATAGC